CCCCCTAGAGGCCTGGTGTTGCTTCCATCGGCCTCCTGGATTTTTCCTCTTCCTTTATTCTATGTAAATGTGTTTTCTTATAAATTTTAACTATATATTTATTTTTTGTTTTAATCTGTTGTAAGCCGCCCAGATTCCCCCTCTGGGGGGAGATGGGCGGGGATAAGTTTGTTAAATAAATAAATAAATAAACAAATAAAAAAAAAAGTGGTAGACTTTTCTTCCCCTCTTACAGGATACTTCCCATTTGTTCCACAGAGTTTCAGAGCATATTTAAAATGTGAGGGATGCAGAGGGCAAGGAGAATCAGATCTACAATTCTAGAACAACTGAATACAACCATATGTGTTTATTCATTTATCACACCAGGGTCTTGTGAATAGAATTTTGAAAGCATCATAAAATGGCTAACCCCCAACCCTGTTCAAAAGTAGTATGATGGTATGGCCAGATAATGTTCTTGAAGGCAAGCTGATAAAGTTGCTCCCCTCAACCCCTAACCTCCCAGGATATTTTCTACCACCATAGTTTATTTTTCTTCAGGGCAGTTGAGATCCTTTCAAGCAAAGCACTGGACAAAACCATCTATCATTTTATCTCCAAAATATGCCTTGGGCTCTTCTGTGGGTCCCTGCACAATTCTTATAAAAATAATGCTAGAGGGTGGGACTTAGCAGTGTATCAGCTTCCCCCTGTCTGCCCTGTTTCATTAAAAACATATTGAATAAATTAGGTGGATCAGGGAGGATGGTGGGGACCAAGAGAAGTATTCATAGTTACCACACTGCCTTCCCCTGATTTATACCTACCCCTTGTTTGTCCTGGTGAAAAAAGGGACAGGAAACCACTAGCTTAGGATCGGTAGATACAGGTGCCAAGGTTAGCCGAGAAGGAGTGGCACAAATCAATGTCACATCAGCTGACTCAACAGCTGGGAAGGGGTTAGTTACAGTGGGCTTGTTGCCAATTGTTAATGAAATTACCTGCATAAAAATTGGTGAGAATAAATGAAAAAAAGGAATGCTATACTTAGCAAAACATGTCTTCCTTATGCAATACAGTTTAAGAAAGAAACATTAAGGTTGTGTTTTTGTTCCAGTAATAGTCTGAAATGTTGACACATAAAGGTGTATCATTCTGACGTTTATTTTCAGAAGCAGTTCTAGTCCATTATCAGAGTGGATAATAAACTTCCCATTGTTTATTGCAATTTTACCCAATTTAACCCTACAAAATAAAATTAAGTTTTTAAGATTTTGAAACAGATAGTTGACCTCTCTTTCTTCTTTTAAGAAAAGTAAATCTGTAAGACAGGGGCATGTACACATACAAGTGACTGCTTCAAGAGTCACTAACTTATTACTGTATTTTAATCCTAGATGTCTTTTATTTTATTTATGGGCAGAAGCAATATTCTTATATTCACTGCACATTCGAAGTAAACTTAGGTTACATGAATACTCTGGGGATAATTTTCCATGTGGTGCTGTTGCACAAAATTTATTTTTAACTATACTCACAAAGAAGATTAATGCAGCAGAATGAGAATTTTATGAAACTATTTTCAGTGAATGTCAGGTTAAATAATTGGATTATTCTTACATGAAGGTTAGATCATCAATGATAAAGATCAGAATCTACGATCTTACATTATTGTGGACTGTATAATCCAACTCTTGCAGCCTAGGAAATGGTTTCTGAGTGCACGTTACTTCAAAAACTTAAGAGATTATTTATATGAAAGTCTTATCTTTTTAGGACATAACTGCCTATATTTCCCTCCCACCCCCAAACCTCAAGTCCTGCTTGGCTGTCTCATAATGGCAGGGATGTTCCTGGGAGGGCTGAGTGAATGACAAGAGTATATACTCCCAGCAGAGTTATACAAGGGCATGAAAGCAATCCAGCTGCCTAGTTAAAGCAAGCAGACATTTATATTAGGCAGCAATGATATAAGAAGATGCTGGAGGAGGAGGATCACTTTAGTGATAACAGTAAAGTCATTTCATAATGCACAGGAGAAGGCAATGGTAAACCACTCCTGTATTTTACCAAGAAAACCTATTTGATAGACAAGATAAAGCGGTTGATAATATAGTTCCAGATGATGGTCCCCTGAGGTTGGATGCCACTCAACATGCTACTGAGGAAAAGTTGAGGATCTTCAGGAGATAAAACCTTTTATGCTATGACTACATTTAAGCCTTTCGGCTGTCTAGTTGCTGATGTTTCCAAGCAGGAAAAGAAAATCTAAAGCTGCAAAGAACCAACTGCAGTGGGAACATGGAACTTAAGGAGCATGAACATTGGAAAACTCAACATAGTGAAAGATAAAATGTCAGAGAGACAGTAAAAGAAGAGAACAGAAGCCAAAGCCAAGAAAGATAAGGATATCGGGAAGGAACTTAACAAAGGATTTCAGAGAGCTGTTAGAAGAGATAAGGAGCGCTATTACAATGATATCGGTAAAAACATCAAAGACTGAAACAGACATGGAGAAAACAAGGAACATTTTCCAAAATATCTCTGAATTTAAAAAGAGGTTCCAATCTCAAATTGATATACCAGTCAATAGTAATTGATTCAAAGAAGATCAAAAAAAGATGGAAGGAGTATACTAAAATTTTGGATAGTAGAAATGTCAACATCTAAGATATCTTAGAAGATGTTCCTGACTTTCAAGTATTTCTAGTACTAGATGGTTAGATGAGTACTCTGGTCACTACCAAGTCTGAAAGTTACAGGAATTAATATAATGTCCACAGAAATATGGCAAGCAATAGAAGAATCTCTAAAGATTCTAATCAAGATATGCCAGCAAATCTGGAGAACAACAGATTGGAAGAGTTCAGTCTATATACCAATACCAAAAAGAAAAGAAAAGAAAAAAAGGAGATTTAAGAGGGTTTAAGAGATTTAAGAGATGCAAACAAGAAGTTCCTTGATTTCACATGCTAGCAAAATAATGCTTAGGATCATCCAAAACAGCTTTCAATCTTACATGAATGGGAGATGTTCAACCTGGTTTTAGAAAACATTGATGCTGATACACACCGGATTATTGAAAAAATCCAAAGAATTTTAAAAAGAAGTCAATTTGTGGTTTATTGATTATAGAAAGGTCAACTGTGTCAGGCTGCAGAATATGCTAAGGAAAATTGGAATCCCAGAACTTCTCATTGTCTTCATGAAACATCTATACACAGAATAGGAAGCCACAGTCCAGAATATATACAGTCCAGAATATACCTATACACAGAATATGGCAAATCAGACTGGCTCCAGGTCAGTAAAGGCAGTATATTCTTCCCTTATTTATTCAACCTATACACAAAATATATATTGACAGTGTCTGAATTTAAAGATAAGCGTGGTTTTAAAACTGAAGGAAGAAACATCAAGAACCCGCAATGTGCTGATGGCAATACTCTGATAGAATAAAAAATATACTGATGGTATTGAACTTTGGTCTTGGAGAAGACTCTTCAGAATATTGTGGATAGCGAAGAAAATAAACAACTTGATCATAGAACAAATCAATCCAGACTTCTTATTAGAAGCACAAATGACCAGGCTCAAACCATCATTTTTTGGACACATTATATGAAGATCCAGCTCCTGTGAGAAATCCATAATGCTGGGAAAGGTAAAGAAAGAAAAGAAGTGGATGACCAGCAGCAAGATGGAAGGACTCTATTATAGTGACGTTGGGTGCAACATTAGGGGGGCCAGGTTGGGGACAGATTGCCCTGGAGATGTATTTATATGGTCACTAAGACTTGATAGCACATAATCGATCACTGGTTATATTTGAACATGACCATTTGATTGCATTCACCCATATTGATTTGCAAGTGCATACTATTTTATCTGAAGCATTAAAACTTTAAGTCATGCCTGCAGTTTAAAAAAATCAAATATGACCAAATTCAAAAGTCAAACTGTTGAGATACTTAAGTGTACAGGGATTATTTTTTGGTCTTTTGTGAAGCTATAATCATCATGTTATGTATCTTTATGTTGTTTAAATGTCTAGTAATCTGAATGGTGCTTTTCAGTTGGTTTTTTTTCTGCTGCTTTTAAATTCTTATGAATCTTAGGAAAAAGAGTAATATGATAAGTAATTATCTTCAGTCAGGAAACATTCACTGAGTTGTTAGAACAGTAGCACCTTTCATATTAAAAACATTTGTAACAAATTTAACAAAGTGTAATTCTTATGAGTAATAACAATAGCATTAGTATACATAAAGATCAGCAACTGATTCATGCATTCAAATGTCATAATAGTTATTACCATATGCAAGGCAACCATCTAAAACCTTATTTCTTTTACAGACTGTTAAAATAAACCATCTCAATTACTGTGACCTAAAAATCTAGCAAACTTTTATATCTGTCTCACTCACTTGATCCCCTAGGGTTTTGCAAGTTGCTCTAGCCCAATGCTGGAAAGAATTCCTAGATGTAGGTAGCCCTAGTAAATATAAACCAACATTCTCTGGATGTTCTGTATTGATATCTCTGAAGAACTTGGATGGCTCTTGAATCCATGGTCTGGGTCCACCTTCAAAGAGGATATCTTTAGAGGAACCCAAAGTTACCAAAGCAGCAGAAATGGGATCAATAATCTAGGAGAGAAGATAATAATGATTCAGATCATGATACTATCAGTAATTTTTTCAGAAATTGTTATAGACTTGTTCACTATCCTATACAGTTCCCTCATATTAGACATTGCAGTGTCTATAACAAACTGCACTGATGTCAGAAAGATGACAGGTCTGTCATGATCTCATCACATAAGGACAGAAATTAATGCTTGCATATGATACAAATATGTATAGTAAGTTGTATACGTTACATCATGAAATTGTGAGTCCAGCAGGACCCCCAAACTGCACACATGATCTGTCTCAGGCAGTGCAACCCCATCTAGAAGAGGAGATGGAAGGTCCCCAGAACCAGGTGGTCCTCAAATCCAGAGCCACTTAGTCTTATTAGGGTTGAGTTGAAGCCTACTGTTCCCCATCCAGATACCCACAGCCTTCAGACACTGAGACAGGACCTCCATGGGATCCTTCAGACAGCCCAGGGTGGAGATATATAACTGGGTATTATCTGCATACTGATGAGACCTCACCCTGAACTGGTGGATGATCCCACCCAGTGGGTTCATATAAATCTTAAACAAGAGAGGAGACAGCACCAAGCCCTGTAGCACACCACATAGCGGGGGCTGTTGGCTGGACCTCTCCTCCCCTATCAACACCAACTGGAACTGGCCATGGAGGAAGGGGGAGAACCAGCACAATACAGTGCTGGCTAACCCCAACTCCCAGAGCAGCTCCAGAAGGATACTACTAAAAGCTGCTGAGAGGTCAAGCTGCTTTATTTATCAGTGATGCAGCTGCTCAACTTGAAAGATCAGAAGCAGAGGCTCCAGTTTGCTTCAGAGGGGCATACTGGAATCAGCTCAAAAAAACAAAGCATCCTCTGAAATATCTGCCTACTCTGAGTAAATTAGGAAGGCTCCACTTGTCTCCAATGTACCTGTGGCTGCATGGAATTGCTGACTAACACAAATGCTCAGATACTTTTTGTGCAGGCATAACTGTTTCATTTCAGGACTCTATAGTACAATGCTTGTAATTCATGCAAGGAATGATTTCCCCAAAATAATTAATGGATTTGCTAATCTGCCTACAGAAAAGAGTCTCATGAGAGGAAATCCCAACATCTGTTTTGCATCTTGTTCCACCTTACTTTCTATATACTGGAGAAAGTGCTTCTTTACATTCATAGCAACACTGTTTTCTGATTCATTTTCTTTGAATAATTTCCACTCACATTAATGAGAGTCATACCCAAGCAAATTTTTTTCAGCTGCTTTCAACAAAGTGCTTGGCTTAAATTTTCCTAGTGTTTCCTCTGACCGATATTCCAGACCTATATAAATAGCAACATATGACGATGCACAGCTTCATAAAATAAGCGGACAAATAGCCAGAAAAGCAAGCAGATGTTTCAAGTGGAAGAACTTAAACTGCAGGACCTGGCATGAACTTGTCTTTGGTTTTGGTAACTTCCAGTTATTAGAATAGTAAGCTGTTCTAATTGTTTTTAAGTAGCATTAACACTTGAATATAGTTATGCACAAGAGAAACCAGCAGGTGACTATGAATTTTTTTTTTTAGTATATTAACATGCTAGAATATTAATTCCAGTTACACTAAAATATTTAATTTCTAACCAACCAGCACTTCGTTATATTTGTTGACTTCTAGTCAGTCAATATATGTATTAACAATAGATGTGTGTGTGTGTGTGCACGCATGTGGCTTTGAGTCATTTTTTGACTCCTGGTGACTGCCTGGACTAGACCCTGCAGTTTTCTTGGCAAGATTTTGGAAGTGGTTTGCCCTTGCCTCCTTCCTAGGGCTGAGAAAGAGTGACTGGCCAAAGGCACCCAGCTGGCTTTGTGCCTAAGGCAGGACTAGAACTTACAGTCCCCTGATTTATCATCTGGTGCCTTAATTACTACACCAAACTGGCTCTCACATGTTAACTACAGATGTTGATATTACATTTAGAGAATTTAGCATTTGCAAATAATAAAAAATGTGACAAATAATTCAACCCACTTTGTGGAGATGAGAAAAAAAGATTAAGGATATTCAGTATACAAACTCTATGATAGAAAGGTGCCAATTCAGAAATAGGGTTAATGATAACTTACTCTGTGAGAAAACCTCCCTGAATGTGGAGAACTAGTAACTTCCTAATAACTTAGTTTTCTTCCTAGAGCAAGAGCTGTTTCCAAGCTCAGCATTTCTTCTGTGAGGGTTGCTTTATATGAACAGCTGAATCTGCTCTTAAAACCAATGTTGTTTAGTGTTATTTAGTGAAGCTATGGACAGTCAATGCCCTGGATCTCAGAGGTGCACCTACAGAAGACTTCTGGTCTACTCATATAAGAAAAGTTCCACGTATGAAGGCTTTGTTTTCATTTTAGATGCCACTACAATATTTATAAAAAGTTTACATGTCTAAAAGTTGCAATGTAATTTTTTAAAAATTATTTTCAGTGTTTTATTATTTTATTATTTTTAATATATTAGGATTTTTAAAACAATGCTTATTTGGTTTGGGGGTTTTGGTTGATTTGGTTGTGCTTTGTGCAGCCTTCTGGGTTTCCTAGAAGAAAAATAATGCAGAAATATTAAGGAATAATAGATATAATAAATAACCCCTGCAATCCTTTAAGCACAAACTAGGGAACATTCCAAATAGAAAACATCCAGGAACCCAGTTCATTTAATTCCAAGTGAAATATCAGTCATTACGTTTGCTTAGTTCACTTGTGATCTTAAATCAGTTCATATTGCATAATCAACATACATTTCAGAAAGACCAACTGATTTTTTAAAACAACAGGCTTACTTTTATTGGGAGATAGGCTGCTATGGTGATACTGGCACTGAGGTGAATATGATCATGGGTATAACTAACAACAAGTGTTGAATACCCTTGGGTTTCAGCTTTAACTCTGATCCCACTGCAGTATTCAGGAGTTGGCTTAAGTCTCCCTGTTAAGAAAACACAAACAGAGCATAAAAATAAATAATATTGATATTACACTTTTACATGTTTATTTTTAAAACTTGCCTATGCTAATAAATATACTATTACTAATCAGTGTACTAATAAAACAAATAAACCCCAAAACAGCCAATTACAGCAGAATAAAGTTGAACATCTGTCAAAATGGATACCGAGTTCGGTTTCATCATGGCTACAAATTGATGAAATCAAAAAGTAAATGAGAATATTCCAATGACAGATTAATGATAGGGTGCATATGAACACTCCATATTGTCAAAAAGATTGGAGAACTGGTGTCTGACTTTTCTTGGGAGCTTCCAAATAAGACTGTTGAAAGGCATGTTATACAAAAAGAAATCCCTTCTATTGTGCTGCCCCTCTGTGCCAACAAAACCTGCTCTGGGTGGTAGGGGGAGCCCTGGAGGAGATTTGGGGAAGACACAGAGGCCTGCAGGAAGATTTCTTGATGATAAAATAAATGTGCAGTCTTTATTTCAGTCTTTTTCTACCATATATAGTGGGATAGAGAAGACAAAAAATCTTCTGAGTAATTATTGGACTAATACGACTTCCAGTTTTGTTTGAAAAAGTAACATTTGCCTAAATATTTTCAGAAATGTTAAACTAATGATAGAATGACAAAGGATCAGCAACAAGACACATAGAAGAAAGCTCAACCAAGTCCTAAGCGGTAAGTAGTACTTACAGTATTTAAAACTAGGAGAGGTATTTTATGAACTACTATGCAGAATCATTTTTGTTTTGGACACATCTTAGACAAATTTATTCCTCCCACTGGAGCATGCTTAATTATGAGACAAATTTATATAAAGGTTGTGATTGATATTAAGCATTTAAAAGCATTTACTATTAATAAAAGAGACATTAATATATCAGGAAGTGTGTTTCTCATTTGCCTATTTATTTAAAAATTAAAATTTATTTTAAGTCACCTTGAAATGGACTGAACACACCATGGTTTTCAATGTTGACAACTAAATCAAAATGTGAGCAATCACTTAGAGTGACCATCTCATTGGTTTCCTTATTCATCACACCAATAATCTTCAGAGGCAAGTCCAGTATCTCGCCCACATGTGCTTCAACTGGACAAGGTGTGAACTCCATATTACTGGGTTCTATCACATAGACCTAGGAGACAAGAATAAAGACACAAGGTCCAGACTGAGATGCAAACCCTGAACTGGAATTTAAAAACAAACAAAAAGCAAAACCCAAACTAATTAAAAGGAAGTTCTTAAACATTAATGGCACATGCTCAGAAGCTGACTTATTTATTCAGAAGCAGCCCATTTCACACTGTCAATCATACTACATTACATTGGCTCTGATATCTTATGGTGCCCATCTTCATTATCTTGTGTGCCTTCAAACCAAATCCCACAAAAAGCCTTGGCATATAAAATAATTATATAGCAAGGTTGGTTTGTGAGTGGTAACTTACAACGGATTGTGAAGTGTGATTTATGGTGTATTTTCTGTGGCATCTGTATGAAATTGCTATCTCAAATACAGGGGTAAACCAACACTTGGATGATGGGTTTGCATTTAATTCTTTATTATCAATAAAGAAAACATCACAGATGGATGGTAACATTTCATAACAACTGCTTGATCAAAGCATTTCATTTGGCATGTCTAATTTTTGAAGCCATCTGCTTTACTGCTTCAGGTTAAATTGTAGACCATATGGTATGGTGTTAAAATTGTAATCCTTGTGGAACTTATAGACTACTTGCATAATCTGATAATCAAGGTCAGCGGGCAGATGCTTTGTTCAAGTAGAAAATGCAAAGTGTGAGCAATTTAAAATCTTAAACTGATGATGTTAGTTTAATTTAATATTTGTTCCTTACAAATTCAAGAGGGGTAAAGTGCACTCCTATTGCTATGTGCTGTGAATCTTGAGTCTGAAAGTAGACTTTTAATTAAACATGTCATTTCTGAACCTTCTGGAAGGAAGTCTCATTTGCTGAAAATTGTCATCTCTTACCAGATGCTTGATGTTGAAACCTTCAGTAGCACCAATCATTTATTTGAAATTTAAAAGGGGGAACTGAATATAGTATCTCAGTACTCACAAGGGACATGTGCAGTGAACAGTCTGTTTGACAGGGGGATGTGCAGAAAGAGTGGCACTATGGATCAGTCATTCAACTTCTGAATCTGAGACAGAGGTTTATAAGGGAAATTATTTGGGGGAAGAGTAGATCATTTGGTGGACCGTTCTTCTGCCCAAATAAGTTTTCAGGTAAGTCCATTTATATGCTTGGGCTTTGATTTGAATTCTCAGACATGATATTTCACATCAAATGATTAGGGCTTGTTTTTTTTTTTCATTCTACCCTTGTTCTCAACAGTATGACATTTTGTTTGAAATCTGCTTCTGGAATATTTGCATTTGCATGTAGTTTTAAAATACTTAGATTAGATTGAAGCTCTTCACCATACATAAATAGTCCATCTAGGAAATTAAGGAAGATTGATCAGTTAGGAACTTCTCTACAAGAAACACAAGTCTTCTCTGCAGCTCCTGACACCTTCTTACAAAATAAGTTACCTTCATTTCCCCATGGTGTAGTGGATTCTGAACATCTTTAGCATGAATGACACTGACACCAATCTCATTCCCAGTTGTCATTACACCCTTAGTTGTAACTGAAGCAACAGCTTGCTGAGATGAAGACCAAGTAAAATTTCCACTTCCACCATAAGCCTTGGTTCATAAAAGAAAAGCAAATTAAAACATTAGGTTTATTAATGAAATTTTTAAAAATATACTCTTGTTAGATATTCAATTCAAATTAAAGGGAATACTTTGGGATAGAATTACCAGTCAGAAATTCACAAATGTACACTCCTTTCTGTTAAAGCATCATAACAACACATATCACTGCAATATTATCTTATTTTTCTTTTTATCAGAGGTTGTATCTGTTGATACGTCTCTAAAACATCTCAGTACCTCTGGTTGCTCATTGTGCCAAAAAACGTTTGATAAACTGAGAGACTTCAGTGATTAATAGTGCCTGTAGTCAGCATATTGTTTCCCAGGTCAGCACGTAAGAGATCTAGGTGATAGGATTGTCACAATTTTTAAAACCCTGATTAATTTCCTTATACTGAAAGCTAGAGGAAGCCAACTGAATTATTTTGTCTCAGTGCAACTAACCTGAGTATTGCTGAAAGTGCTTCCTAATCATGGGAATTATTTGGAAGTATAAATGCCAAAGGGGGAGGCAACACAGAGAAACAGAAGAAAATTGATTTCTTCCTGACATAATATCTTTATTTTTATCCTTAAGGGAAGGCTAGCTACATATATACATGGCTTTTGAAATTAATCAGAAGTCAGTCACTGATAACAGTAACTGCATTTACTGTGATTCCCACAGAGGCCTAAATTGTTCTGCTCTACAGTATCCTTAGTATTTCCAAAGATTCTGTATCATCAGGTCTAAGACCTTTTCAAAAACTATCATTTAAAGTAAAGCATTAGAAATTTTACTACTTTTCAGTTTTTCTAGGCTGAAAAAGAAAATGCAATTTGCTCCATTTTATAGCCTATGAATACAGAAAGATGAATTTGCTTGCACATTAAGCAGCAGGATAGTTCTTTCTGCTACAGCTATCAGAGATCTTTACCATCTGTTTCAACTTTGTAGTTGCATAAAAATCTAGTCTGAAAGGTACCTAGTAGAATCAGCCTAGGTATCACATTGCCAATATTAATCTGATTTGCATAATTAATAATGGCAAATAATAAAATAATATCTCCATATCCCCTGCTAGCATGTTTTTTTTCCCTCAGACTTCCTTCCTACCACTCCTTTCCAATATTCAACTTATTTCTTCCATGTGGAGTGCCATATGTGTGCAAAGGCTGCACATGAAGACTAATTTGTCATAGAATTTTTCTGAGCAACATTAAGTTATATAAAACGAAGCACAGTAAAAAGCCAAGTGTGCAATTTCTTTTTTAAAAATAAACTTTGTCCCTTCTTTTCCTGATTAATATAAAATGGCACATATGAAACAATAATGATGGTCAAAATTTCTTCTTCATAACGAATGAACCTGTTTCTAGCATTAGTGGCTGAAACAGGAATAAAATATGCTCTGTATTTTCAATCATTTTGGAATAAATAGAGGTCCACCAATCCAGCATTCTGTTTCTGTAAGCAAAGTTTCTCATAGATACTAAAAGAGGTTTAAAGTGCACCTCTTAGTAGACACTGCTGACAGATTTCCTTGTGAATTTGTCTAATTGTCATTCCCAGTACAATAGTCCATAGAGGCTAAAATAAAAATTTACACTACAACAATACAATTACAGTAAATGATACCCCGCCCCCTCCAAAGTCCTGCTGTGCTGCCCCATCATGATGGAGGGGTGTTCCTGGGAGGGATGAGTGAAGAACGTTGGGAGTTACGCCAAAAAATATATATTCTCAGCAGGGTCACCCAAGATGTGAAGGTCATCCCAGCTGCCCAGCTAAAGCAAGTAGGCACCTATATTGGGCAGCAGCGATATAGGAAAATGCCAGAGGCAGATGATCACTTTAGTGACAATGGGAAAGCCATCAATTTGTACTGTGTGGGAGAAGACAACAGTAAACCACTCCTGTATTTTTACCAGGAAAACCACGTGGATAGAAAACATTAAACGATTGAAGATATAGTGCCGGATGATGGTCCCCTCAGGTTAGATGGCACTCAACATGCTACTGAGGAAGAGCTGAGGATCTTTTGGAGTACCAATGGTGTTTATGATGGGCTAGATTAAAGCCCTTGGAATAGAGTATCTAATTGCTAATATAGCCATACAGGAAAAGAAAATTCGAAGCTGCAGAGAAAGAATTAAAGTGGGAACATGGAGGTAAGAAGTATGAACACTGGAAAGCTCAACACAGTGAAAGATGAAATGAATTCACTGTACACTGATATCTTAGGCATTACTGAATTGAAATGGACTGGGACTGGACACTTTCAGTCAGAAGATCAAATCATTTATTACTCAGGACATGAAAAATAAAGAAGAAACAGGGTTGCTTTTATAGTTAGGAAGGGTATAGCAAGAACACTAGTTGGCTACAATGCAATCAATGACTGAATAATATGTATTGAACAACCCTTGTGGACAACCCTTTAATACGATGATCATCCAAGTTTGACTGTGGAACAGATCATGAACTGTTCATGTGCAAGTTCCAAATTAAGCTAAAAAGAATAAAAAAGCCAACCACTTTCCACTTCTGTTTGTCTGATTGTGCGTCACTTCCCCCTCCCTCTTATACTCCTGTGAAACTGAGTCATTTCCTCCTCCCCTCAGATTGTTTTGGGCTTAAGTTGCATTTTTCACTTTGTTGCTCTGGGAATGGATTTGGTTTATCTCCATCAAAGTCATCTTTATTCTCTACATCGGCCCAGAATTCTCACTCAAGGCACAAATGACCGGGCTCAAATCATCATACTTCAGACACATTATGTGGAAAATCTAGCTCTCTGAAGATGGATTTAATGCTGGGAAAGATGGGAGGAAAAAGAAGAGGATGACCAGTAGTAAGGTGGTTGGCTCACTTACAGTAGCGATGGATGGATGTTGGAAGACCTGAAGGACTAGGTTAGGGATAGATTATCATGGAGAATACCCATGCAGTTGCTAAGAGTTGACCCTGACTTGATGGTACATAATCAATCAATCAAACAAACAAACAATAAAAGATATAAAATCAGCATAAGGTATCTGAAAATCATAAAGAACCATGACATCCCAATAGCAAAAAGGCATAATTCAATTTTTCCTCCTAAAGGAATTGCTCTTGTACTTTGTTCATTTTTCCTATCTTTCCTGTCTCCATTTCTACACTACTGAATAAATTTTAAGGTGTAACAACCAACAGCATACAAAGGATTCCAAGTATATTTTAATTTTTTTCCCTAATTATTACCAATATAAAATTTATCTTTTTCACAGCAGCCACAACTGATAGCAGCTACCAGCCACAGTCAATTAGAAGAGATGGTTGATATGAAAATGACTATATTCCCATTAATGAACTTTATATGTAACTCTGAAGTGCAAACACTCAACTGAGTTGAACTTCATTGAGGCTTTTCAGGAAGAGGATTTAATGGAATTTTATGGAATTTACTCAGATATAAATGAGGCATTGGTTACTGGGGCCTATGCCCAGCTATTAACCATCCAGAACTGCATAGTCTTATTCAAGATTACTTTATTTTTTTTTTACATCTTTAATTAGATAGGCTGACTAGAAAAGAATCACCAATGTCTGTGTCAACCAACAGCTTAGCATTTTTTTCTAACCACATTTCACATGGATATCTGTTTTGAAGAAAAGCATTCTGGCATAGACAAAGGATAAATCTTTTTGTAAACAATTCAGACTTTCACAACTTTAATTGAGTTAACTTAAAAAAAACAAAACTCCTTGCATAATAGAACTTTCTTGAAGAAAGGCCCTTCTATGAAAAGACCTTATTCTTGAAACTGGAGAAACATGAAAGGTACAGAAAAAAAGGTATGGCTGAAAGAATATATAAATAAAGCACAATGTTATAGCAATAGTGGAACCCCCCCCCCAGAAGTGATATATGTCAGTGCCAGGGTCTATGGTGTTTCTTCTTTCTTTGGCAGTGAATATAGTTGTAGATTTAAAGAACCAACAAGTACCTACCTAAGCCACATTGGTTTTTATATTTGTCATTTGTTTTTATATTTTATTTGTCATTTCTATCAACATTTCTCATTTGCAACCATACACAAATTATACACTTCGTTAAAAAGAAGGTTTCTAAATTGTAAGATAAAGTAAAATGTAGGTTTTAGGAACACAGGTGGGAAACTACAACCAAGTAGCAAGAAAACTGCATTTTCCAACAGAAACAAGGTTACAGCCACCTAAGTTAATAACACATGCTAGAACAGTAATGTATTGTATTCAGTGGCTAAGCTTGCTGTATTCTACATTTAGATGGTTTCAATACCTACCAGGATTCTGTACTGATAGACTCCTGCTTTTGCCTGCCATGGAAAGGTCAAAATGCTTGGTTGAAGAACAATGGGAGCATAGATATCTACTTCTTGCTGGTTTTGTGCAGGAAGAGAAAATGTGTGAACACCTCCATCCTGATAAAATAAATGTGCAATAAGTAAATATTTTACTTCAGTGTTTTTTAAAACTCGTTTTTATTGGGAAAGATGCAATAGGCAGAGAAGTGTAGGGCTACTTCATATGCTTCCCCCTCCTCACCCTATCCAACCATGAACATTAACCTCCATTCATACGAGGGTTCCACAAATAGAACTTGATTCCTAGAGATTGCTCTCTCCTGTATGAACTTCTCTATGCTCTTGGGGCATCAGTACAGATACTTCTTCAGGAATTCATGCCTATTAATTTATTTAAATTGCAAATGGAGTCAAGGCATTCCTAGCTATGACACTCATATTATCTTTAACTTACTTTTTATGGCATTCTGCTTCAGCCAAGTAACTTTTTAAAATTTTCTCATGCCTTTTAAAATGTCATCTGCCTATGCTTTTATATGCTAGTATAATGTCATGATTGTATTATTTTATTATTTTGGTTTGGTGCATTATAATCAAACAGTATTACTGAAGGGTGCATTTTAAAAAAACAAACACCAGCATACGTTCATGGATTTAGAAACTCTCTTGCAACATGTTTTTGAGCCAATATATCTCTGAGCTGCACAGAATGGGAAGAAGAAAATACTGAATACTAAGACAGACCATGTATTTATTTATATTTAATTACTGAAGATAGGGAAAGCTTTTTACAGAATCATGATGATCCACCAGCTACCACTAAATAAAAATTGACTAGATTACTATCTTTTCAAAAATAATAAATATTCACTTAGGGTAATAGTGCATGCCTCCTACCCCTTGAAACTCAAATTACTTCTTAACAAACTGGCTAGGTTACTAGGTAAATATCAAGCCCTGATGTGAATAATTTCTGATGATAGACTTGTTCTAAAAGTTATTCCTTCTGACCCCACTCACTTCTCCTAATTACTAAAAATAAAAAATCAGGCAGGGTCACTTTCAAAGTTAATTCCCATATATTGGCCCCAAATATGCAAATGAAACTGGCCAAGAATCTGACCACAAAATTTCACCTTCAAAAAATGTTGGAAACAGATTTTCCTGTTTGGAGTGAGTTGAATGCCATCCAACATAAAGCTCATTTAAAGGGAAGTATACAAATACAGATGTGTTTGTAATGTGCAACAAATTATTTATGTACACACGCATGCACACAAACACATATAATAAATCAGAATTGTTTTTAATCTTCTGATTTTTTTTCCAGATTGCTAAAGAAATCACTCCAAAGATGATTATATTAAATAAGGTATTTGCTACACATTGGTGAAAGGCAGAGGAGATGTGCTACTAAGACATATTAATTTTGCACAGTGACTTCTTACTAAGCATAATATCTAAATATAAAACTTATTCTTGTCTATCTGAAAGTCCTAATTTCAACAACTGCACTTCTTTATAATCCATTTAGGAATATGTAATATATTACAAATTGTAATTTTAACAAAACCTATGAGATTTTGTTTTCAGATAATGTTTTTGATTGAATTATATCATATTTTAAATTTCTATTAAAATAAAGCAGCTGAATGTGCTATTAATTAGTAAATTCATCTAATTATTAATTAGACAAGGTTCAAATACAAGACACATTTTTAAAACATACCTGATCTACAATAGAAGTTAATGTAGCACTAAGAATGGTATGTCCTTCTTTTATTGCTTTTATGTAGTGATATGAACCATTCAGAGATGACTGCACAACTTTGAAATATTCTTTTGAGAAGTACATATCAATTCTGATGTTCTAAAATTTAAAAAAAGGAATGGTTACCAAATACATTTTGAATAAAAACATACTGTAATAAAAATGCCATTAATATAATTTGATGGTACAAGAAAAAAAATGTGTGTTTTTTTTAAAAAGCATTCAGTTGGAATCTAGCTTTCTCGTTTGTCATTGGGTAGTTTGTCAAAATAAGTTGCATTATGCATGCCCCATTTCCATAATCTATGAAGGAAATCAAAAAGAAAGAAGCAGTAGTTTATTTATTTATTTATATTTATTCAGCAAACTTGTCACTGCCCATCTTGTGAAATGACTCTTTGTGCAAGTTTTGTTACTAACAAATCCATCCTGAGTTCTAGCGATTACTACATTGTTTTTTAATGTGTTTGCAATTCAATCTTTTTATGGTCTGCTCTAGAATTTTCCCAAGTATTGAGGTCAATTGACTAGTGGCTCCCCCTTTGGAAGATTGGTCAATATTTTCCCTCCTCCAGCCATCCATGCTCTACGGTTTCTCAAAGACAATGAGAAGCTGGAGAAAATATCACAAGAAAAATGAAAACATGGCAAACATACAGCATTCTGACAACTGAAATAAAAAAGCTGTTCAGCTCTCAGTGAAAGCTAATTAACTGCTATGATGTCCAATATCTGGTCATGCTGCCTAAGCCATACCTTATAATGACCATCACATAAACTGCTCTCAAATGCACTAAGAAATCCAGACTTTTACAAGCAGGTCTCCTTGTTGTAAGAAGTTTGAGCCCTATAGTTTTATTCAAAGGCTTTTCATTAGTACTTCATTTTCAATACACGTATGCATTGGTTGTCAATTCAAAACAAAAGAACTATAAACCATCTTGAACATTAATAAGCAGGAATAAACTTCAGGATGTTATTTCTACTTAAAAGATGTGGACTTCTGCTTTTCAACAGAGGGTCTATTCTCTTAATTTTCCTAGAAAATTTTGCTGGTTTCATAGAAGAGTGTCAGATTGCTGTTAAAAATGCAGAAGGCTAAATAAAAAACGTAGAAACCATAACTTTTAAGAGCAAAGAGATAGCTTCAAGGTAAGGATTGAAAGTAGCAAATTGTTTTTCAGCATTTGAGCTAGACACCTGTTTCTTTGTTCATGTGGTATCTATGTTCTGTCTTCAATTTAATCCTAATAGTGCTCCTGATTGAAATCCCTTTTGTCATTTTCACATCAAACATATAATTGATGTGATTTTTCAGAAAAATGCTTATTTATGTTTCATTTACCTCAGATAAATACACCTTATTACTTGACTTATCATACACTTCAACAGTGATTTCATAGAACCTCTCAGTTTCCAGCACCCATTTCTCACCAGGATGAATTGAAAATCCTGCAAAGCAAAAGCACTGAAAGTCATATAGTTATGGAATACATACCTGATCAAAACACATCAGAGTGATATTAAGTGTGATCCTATATAAACTTTCCCATAAAAGGAAAATATTTAAAAGAAGATCTTACTATTCATCAGAAAGTTATGCTTTCCAAACTAAAAATTCAGTAATCGTATATACTATTCAGTAATCACATATAAAGTTGGTTGTGCAGCAGCTTCAAAGAACTCTGGAAGAAGCAGATTAAATGGACCTCTTCCAGTTAAGATTCAGGCCCAGATATGGAACCAAGACAGTATTGATTGCACTCTTGGATGATTTCTGGCAGGAGGAGGACAGGCATGGTGCATCCGTCTTTCTTCTTGACCTTTCAGCAGCCTTTGATACCTTCAATCATGGTATCCTTCTGGATTGGCTTCAGGGGTTGGGGGTAGGCAACACCATTTTATGCTGTTTCTTCTCCCTCCTCCAGGGCCAGTTCCAGTAGGTGTTGATAGGGGAAGAGAGGTCCAGCCCATCACCCCTTTGTGGGGTGCCACAGGACTCAGTGCTGTCTCCTCTCCTGTTTAACCTCTACATATATCACTGGGTGAGGTCATCCATTGGTTCAGGGTGAGGTATAATCAGTAAGGAAATGATACCTGGTTACGTATCTCCATCCCAGGCCACCCAAGTGATGCTGTGGAGGTCCTGTCTCAGTGTTTGGAGGCTGTGGGGGTCTGGATGGGGAACAACAGGCTTCAACTCAACCCTAATAAGACTGAGTTGCTTTGGGTTTTAGGATCCCCTGGTTCTGGGGACCTTCAATCTCTTGTGCTGGATATGGTTGTACTGCCCCAGACAGATCCTGTGCACAAGCTAGGGGTCCTCCTGGATTCATGGCTCCTGCTCTTTCAGCAGGTGTGGTTGTGGCTGGGAGGACCTTTGCTTCACATTGTGTGCCAATTGTGCCCATTCCTGGAATAGGAGGCCCTGCTCACAGTCACTCATGCCTGACTGGATTACTGCAATGCGCTCTACATGGGGTTACCCGAATGAGGAATATTCAGAAACTTCAGCCAGTGCAAAATGCAGCAGCGCAGGCAGTTATGGGTGCTGGTCGTTCAGCATATGTGACACCTCTGCTATGCAAGCTCCACTGGCTACCAGTATGCTTCCAGGTGTAATTCAAGGTGCTGGTGGTTCCCTTTAAAGCCCTTCATGGCTTGGGGCCAGGTTACTTATGGGACCATCTCTCCCCAGTGGTGTCTAACTGTCCTATTAATCCAGCAGGAGAGGCATGCTTCGGGTCCCATCCATGAGAGACCTTCATCTGGTGGGACCCAGGAAGAGAGCCTTTTCTGCCATGGTGCCCACCCTCTGGAATATCATCCCCTCTGAGATTAGACTTGCCCTGACCCTGTAAAATCAAATTAAAAACTTGATTTTACCATCTAGCCTAGGGCCCTGGCAATATGGGTGAGCCCATTTCATGGTTAATTTGAATGTCGGACATTATGAATGTTCTCGGCAGCTATTTTATGCTACTGATTTTTTAAAACTTTTGGTGGTTTTATCCTGTTTTTATTTTGTTTTTAATTATTAGCTGCCCAGTCATGTATATGAGATGGGTGGCCATATAAATTTACCAAATCAATCAATCAATCATGAATTTTGGATAAAGTGAAAGGATATTTAAAGAAAAGGTGAGGAAGGATTTGAGAATGCAGATTAGGAGTACCTGCATTTACAAATGGTAAGATCAGTATCTATTGGACAGCTTACATATTAGTAAACTTACTGAAAATGAGATTCTAGGATTCCAAATATGTGAAAATCTGAACAACTGAAATATGCCATACACACTATTGCACTATTAGGTCTACTGAGCAGCCGGCCACAGAAATATGAAAATAATAATAATAATAATCTGCCTATCCCAGGTCCTTGGGAAGGACACAATAGGTGGATAAAAATGCCAAATCCAGTCTAAACATCTGGCTGACTCTGCAACCAACCATAATAATAAAGACCAAATGAAGAATAGAAAAGAAGCAAGGCAAAGTATTACATGCCCAGTACAGAAAAAAACTAGCAGGCAAAGCAGATGACAAGAAGACCTGGCAATGGCTAAGAGCAGGAAAGTTGAAGAGAGAGACAGAAGGGCTAAATTCTGGCTGCAAAAGACCAAGCCTTCAGAACAAATGCATATAAAGCCAGAATTGAGAAGACAGCAGCAGACAGCAAATGCCGTCTCTGAAAAGAAGCTGAAGAAACAGGGGACCATCTAGTTAGCTACTGCAAGAAGATCACACAGACTGACTACAAACAACAGCATGACAAAGTAATAACAATGGTGCATTGGAATATCTGCAAAAAATACCATTTGCCAGCAAACAGGAACTGGTGGGACCACAAAAACAAAGTAATAGAAAATGAGGGAGCTAAAGTGCTCTGGGACTTTAGAATTCAAACAGACAAGCACTTCCCACGCAACACCCGAGACTTAACAATTGTTGATAAGAAAGACAAAAAAGTCTGGAT